CTAGAAAACAAAACAAACAAAACAACAAAAAAAAACTAAACCAAAACAAAACAAAAAACCAAACTCTGGTATCTCCCTGTGAGGTAGGCAATGCCCTTAGCAGGTGAACCCAGTCTTGCTCTTTCTTAGCCTTTTGCATTCACCAAGGCCTGAGCTTGATCCAGCATTTTAGGATAAGATTTCAAGAGGAAAACAGCTTTCCCAAGGCTCACCTCGGTGAAAACTTTGTGGAGAATTTTTGAAGGCCCAGGACACAAAAAGAAGAGACCAAATCAAGATTAAGAACTAGGGGAGCTTTTCAAGGTTTCTCAGAATCCAGGTGTCACCTCCACCCTGGGCCTGTGGCCAGCACCTGATTGCCCCGACCCAAAAGGAAAGAAAAATGAATGTCTTGGGCTGAAAGGAAGGGGTGTGTTCTGATAGTGCAGGTTGTCTGTCCCTTCTCACTTCCTGCAAATAAACAGCTTTCTCCTTTGGACAGTTGGGGCAGTGGCATCCTGGGCTGCACCTCTGTTGTCATATGATGTGTGTGGGGGTGTTGGGAGTGAAGGTCAAGATGGAGGCTGCCCAGGCTTGGCTTGTGCTGCCTCTCACTTCCCATCTTCCTTGAAAACTATTCTGTAGGATATAGAACCCTTATAGGGATGCCTTCCCTGAAATTCATGAAATCTCTTAGGATGAAGTGATGTCCCATAAAAACCTCCACCTGCTCAGGCAGGTGCAAGAAAGGAACCTCCTCCTGGGAAGAGGAGGAAACAAAAGTTGTGCAAAAGAGAACAAAATCTCTGTCCTCTGTCAGCAAATTCTGCATTCCCTGGCTGTGAGAGAGGGGAGCAAGCAGACATGCCCCTGTGGAGCACATGAGTGAAAAGCTTCCCTGCCACTGATCCATATAAGACTCAATTTTCTTCTTTCCCCAGTGGTTCACTGGGTTGTCACTCTGAGTGATAAAATCAGAGCTGGAGTTTCACTGATGGACAGCGGCTCACTGTCCAGGCAGTGGCTGGGATGGAGTTAAATGGTGAGGGCACAATCGGCAAAGTACTCCTTCCCTTCCTGGCCAGATAAGCAAATAGAGATCTCTGCTTCTCTGCCATTTTCAAATTACAAACATGGGGTGGGGGCCCGAAAAATCAAAGGGAAATGCCCTCCTGATTGAGTCTAGCACCTGCCATGGGGTTGAGCAGCCTAGGGGTTGATCTGAACAGGATAAGGAGTGCTTGGAGACCCTGCTGCTCAGGCAGGTGCAAGAAAGGAACCATCTCTGCACCTTTTCCTACTGTCCAACATCCTGCCCCAAGCCAAGCCAGCCCCGTTCACCTCCTGCCCGCTTCTGCTCCTGGAGTTTCTCTGGGCCTGTATGTGCAGACAAGCGCAGGAGAAAGAGATCTGAGAGGGGACATCTGGGGCTGAGGGTCCCTGCACATCTTCTTCTCCTGCTCATCTTGCCATCTCGGCAGGCAGGGCAGTTAAGTGTTGGGGAGGAGGACGAAGGGAAGCTAAAGCCTGCTAGAGGGCAGGGAGCTTGGGGGAAGGGTCAGGAATCAGAGTCAGGCTGCTGGAGTGGTTGTGGGGATTCATTAGGAGCAGAAGCTCCCATATCCCTGCCCCAAAAGGTGCCCTGGCACCCCTACCTGACCTACAGATTCAATGGCCCAAGAGTCATCACCATCTTTTTTTTTTAAGGGGCTGGAATTTGGCTTCAGAACAGAATGGAACAGCATGAGGTAGATGGAAGAGCTAAGCAAAGAAGTCTGTGCTCTGGCCAGGGGAACCACCCACGTGGAGGGGTCCTTCGCATCCGGCCCCAAGCCACCTGGATCCTGCCCAGCTCTGGAGTTCAGAGGAAGTTCTGTGAAACCAGCCTAGTGGGAGAGAATCCCAATTAACCTTGTTTCCACAGCAAGATAAGAATCAAGTCTTGGGCTGATTCCCTTTCTTTTCAGTTGCCCCTGTTAGGCCATGCCCTTCACCAAACACATACCAGACTTCTTCAATGTGTATTTTATAAGCACCTCACTCCCCACAGAAGTGGAAAATGAAGAGAATGAACCACTTTTCTCTCAAGAATAGAAGTGATTTGGAGACCTGTAAGATCCTATTAGCCACCCACAGGAAAGAATCCCAATGACAAAGGGCCCAGTCTGCAATCTCACTGTGGAGAGGTGATCCTCAGAGAAATCCAGAGGATTTCGTGAAAATATTAAAGAATTACAGTGAAAGTCTCCACGAAACTCTCCCTGTAGGAGAATTCTGCCAGGGCCTGCTCCAGAGTCTCAGGCACTGGCCTCCCTCTGCAGTCTTGACAGAAAAGTCAGCACCGTGGAGTGGACAGCTCCCAGCTGCCACTCTGCAGACAGCAGCCTAGGGACTCCTAGAAGGACACCGTCTTTACTCAGGAAACTAAGGGGTTAAGGGTGAACACTTAGAGGAGACGCTGAGCTTAAGTCCAACATATTATGATCCCCTTTTGGTATTTGGATTTCATCCTTCAACTACTTTTCACTTTCCTTTTCTGTTAGGAAGCTCTCATTTAGGTCATGGATCCAGTCCTTAAGAGACTTAGCGTGTCTGACCTCAGTCCTGAACAATACTACATACAATTTCACTTCAATCCTAAAACTGAATTGACAGAGTTTTCAGAAAAAAAATCAGGAGCAACTTTTGGGGGGATTCCTATGTGTCCTCAGGTTTTAGGATGTGAGTCCTTGGGACTCAGATTCCTTTCCAAATATTCCAAAGTTCTGATGGGCACCAAGGTCTGAAGAGGGAGAGGCATCTCTTCAGGGAAGTCTACTTAGAGCTGCCTCAGCCTGTGGAGTTTATTAGAGAAAAAGAATTGTGAGGGCTGCACAGGACAGGGTCTTTCTCGGTGCTTTCATGCACTGCCAGCCCGTTGAGTCCATGGTGGCATCCCCTTTTGTCCAGAAGTGCAGCAGGAGGGAGGAGGAGACTGCATGTGTGTGAATTAGTGGGACTCCCACTGTCCTTTGCTCTTGACCTAATGGTCAGGTCAAGCCCCTAACCACATGGGTTCCCAGATTCAGCCATCTCATAGACCTTCAACCTATCCACATACCTAAAATGTCAATACTCCTGAAGTCAAAATAGTCAATTCCCTTGAGTTTCTTCTTGAAACACAAGACAGAAAAGGGATTTCCCCATTAATATTTATCCCCATGATCTTATAACGTTTAGAGATATCCCTGTCTGGATTAAAGGTTCTCTTTACTGCTAACCATTTGCTTTTTGTAACAGTGAGCACAGGACTGTAAAATGGTGGGCTGTTCCCTCTTTGATCATTTTTTGGTGATGAAAAGATATTTTGTTTCCAAAGCAGATATGTGTGGGTGTTTTGGGACTGAATGGATGTAAGCAGCTCTATGGGTGTTTTGTGCTTGGTTGCTTGTGTGAATCTGGGTGGGGTCCATGAGGGGCAGCAAGTATCAATGTTTATGGGCCCACTGGGTGTGTGTGAGAGTCTTGCAAGGTGGAAGCCCTGGGTTATTCCCTCAGCTTCTGAACACTCACTGGACACAGGCTCCATCACCCCAGCCTTGTCCCCTCCACACACCATAAAAGGAGGCCGCCGTGAGAAACATGGTCTGTCATTGCATCTCATTTACATAAATATTTATTAATCGTCATTAAACTAAACAGAAACACGCAATGCACTTCGGGTGTCCGACGGGAGCTCCATCTTCGCTACAAGAGGAAGGTAAAATTGCGTGTGTGGGGGTGTCGCCTGTGGGTTTGCATTTTTGCATGTGTTTGGATGCCTGATCCCCTGCCTCTGCTGGGGAGGTTCACCTGTTGCCTCTTGAGGGGAAATCTCCAGAAGGAGCCCTCATCCTCCCCGCTCACCGGATGACAAAAGTCAGGAGGAGCCTAGAAACAAAAAATAGAAAGAAAGAAAAAGAAAACCAACCCCCAAACCAAAACCAAACACAAAAACCTAAACCAAACCAAACCTAAAAACAAAAACCAAAAACACAGTCCGGGCAGGGGCGGGGCTGTCCCTAGGTCTGGGCCCCTCCACCTCGCTCCAGGAGGGGTAGGAAGTGACTGCGGGGAGGAGGAGCCAGCAGACTCACCTCCGGTCCCCGGACGCCCGCTTCGGGCCTGCGTGTGCGTGCGGTGCGGTGTGCGTGTGTCTTTCATGCAAACCCTCCCTCCCCAAACCGACCCCCCCCAACAGTTTGCCATTCCATACAAATTTGGAAACAGGTTTTTAAAAAAACAGTATGACGCACAACAGGGACAGGGCGGGGGAGGGCAGTGGCACTGGGGCTCCAAATCTCCGAGTCATTGATTGTAAGAACCTGGGGGGAGGGGCGGCGCGGGCCCCCACTTCACCAAAGTGCACAGACCCGCGATTGGGCGGGGCAGCCAGCGGACCGGAGGGGCATCCCGGGCCGGGCCGCTAGGCTTAGTCAGAACCTCCTTGCATAGATATTTGTGTCTTTTTAAAAATTATTATTGGTAGTAGTATTTATTTATTTATTTATTTATTTTTTGCCTTTTATTGCTTCTAAAAGTTCTTACTGCGTTTTCTCTCCGATCCGGACTCTGAGTTCGGCCTCCACCGCCTCTTAGCTTTTTTTTTTTTTTTTTTTCTTTTTCTTTTTTTTTTTTTTTTTTTTTTTCTTTTTCTTTTTTTTTTTTTTTTTTTTTTTCTTTTTCTTTTTTTTTTTTTTTTTTTTTTTCTTTTTCTTTTTTTTTTTTTTTTTTTTTTTCTTTTTCTTTTTTTTTTTTTTTTTTTTTTTCTTTTTCTTTTTTTTTTTTTTTTTTTTTTTCTTTTTCTTTTTTTTTTTTTTTTTTTTTTTCTTTTTCTTTTTTTTTTTTTTTTTTTTTTTCTTTTTCTTTTTTTTTTTTTTTTTTTTTTTCTTTTTCTTTTTTTTTTTTTTTTTTTTTTTCTTTTTCTTTTTTTTTTTTTTTTTTTTTTTCTTTTTCTTTTTTTTTTTTTTTTTTTTTTTCTTTTTCTTTTTCTTTTTTTTTTCTTTTGTATGTTTGTTTTTAAAAAAGGAAAAGGGAAAAATCATTCTAGTTACAAATTGGCTTGGCCTCTTTCCTCTCAATCCACATTCCCTCCCGCCAAAATTAAAATGGCAAAACGAGAAGATTGGGGCTGGGCTGATGGCGTTTGGGCGCCCTGACTTCTGCCCTCTTCAAGAAAGGGGAGGCTCCCAGCTCCTTTCCTCCGCAGCTCAATGTCTGGTTTTCAAGGTAACAACGAGAGGGGGAAAGCCGCATCCCGCAGCATAGCTGCCTCTCTCCACCGCCTTTCGGCCTGCAGAGAGGTGGGGAGGAGGAGAAAACCTAAGTGAGGGTATTGAAAATGGGGAGAGGGTCTCCAGGGAGGGGGGGCGGGAAGGTCCCCAGAGAAGCGCTCCACGGGAGAAAGGAGGAGGAGGAAGCCCGATGGAGAGAGAGAAGGCGAGTCCCCAGGGGGAAGCGAGGCCCCTGGGACGGGCCACCCACTGATAAGAGACCGCGCGGCCCCGGAGAGTGGCAGAACGGGCGGCTGGGTCCCCACGCCCGGCGCTGGAGTAGATGGGACTGCCCCTGAGCTCTGGGGACCGGGGCTAGGGGGCGGGCAAAGGCCAAAGAAAAAGAAGGGGGTCGGCGCGAGGTCTCAGTTATGGAAAAACGCATTGAGCTCCTCGTACATGGGGCCCCGGTCGTGGTGAAGGTGCATATCGTAAGACAAGAGATTCTCCGAGTGGACACCCCCGCGCACGGCTGACGAGCCGAAGACCAGCCCGTGGCCGGTGGGCCGCGAGCCGGGTAGCGCCGAGTAGTGCATAGAGTAGTGGTAGCTTTTCTCGTGGTCGGGCGACGAGTCCTGCTTGAGCGAGAAGTTGCCATTGAGACAGAGCGGAGGGCTGAGTGGGCCCTCGTACTCGGAGCTGTTGTAGTCCGGGCTCGCGCCCCCGCCGCTTGCCGCAGCGTACAGCGTCTCGTAGGCGGCGCAGTAGCCGTGGGTCCGCAGGGCGTGAGCCGCGCCGCCGCCCAGGCCGCCAGCTGCCTGGCACTGTGCGCCCGCCAGGCGGGAGCACGGGTATGGGTATGGGTGCATGGCGAACGGGCCGCCGGAGCTGTGGAAGCGGCCCGCGCCGTCGGCGCCCTGCTCGGTGAGGAAGTTACGAGAGTTGAGCTGCAGGCAGCCAGCCACCAGGTTAGTGGTGGGTTGCGACAGACCCTTGCACAGAGTCTGCACGTAGGACACCAGGTCGGGCCTCTTTCCCGAGCGCAAGATCTCCGAGAGCGCCCAGATGTAGTTCTTGGCGAGACGCAGCGTCTCGATCTTGGACAGCTTCTGCGTCTTGGAGTAGCAGGGCACCACCTTGCGCAGGTTGTCCAACGCGGCGTTCAGGTCGTGCATGCGGTTGCGTTCCCGCGCGTTGGCCTTCTGCCGCCGCAGCTTAGAGCGCTCCAGGCGCGCCTTGGTCATCTTGCGCTTCTTCGGCCCGCGCTTCTTGGGCCGCTCGCCTTCCGCCTCGTCCAGCCCTTCTTCCTCCTCCTCTTCCTCCTCCTCCTCGCCCCCCAGCTCGCCTTCCTCCTTGACCTCGGCCAACGTGGCCTCGGGTACCTCTTCTCCACGGAGAGGAACGGGCTTGGCCGCCCGGGCAGGCCCTGGAGCCCCCGGACCTGGAGCAGGTGGTGGCTGCGGCGGCGCGTCGCCCTTGTCGCTCCTCTGCTCCTCGTCGTCGCCGTCGCCCCAGCTGGCGAACTTGGGCACGTCCGAGAGGAGGCCGGGCTCGCTGAACAGGCGGGTCAGCATGGTGCCTGAGGGCGCCCCGGGGGGCGGGCAGGGGAGACAGACAGCAAAGAGTGAGGGGTGCGCTAGGGTCACCACGGGCCCCCAACTCCCCTCCACCCCCGAGTCTCCGTGCGGGGTCCTGCCCGGGGACCCTGGATGCCCACCTCCTCCTCCTGCCCCACCCAGAGCCGGCCCAGCCCTGCCCGGCCGCCGGCGGATATCGCGGCCCAGGCTCTGGCCCGGGAACCCAGCCCGGGCTCCACCCCTTGCTTGGATCAGGGGCCCGCTCCCCGCGGCCGGCTTCGCTCCGGGTCACCGTGGGGTCCGGGTGGGGGTATAGAGACCAGGTCTTTTTGCCCCGGGAGGCGGCGCGCTAGCCCAGAAGCTGGCTGCCTCCGGGCGATGGAGAGAAGTCGGGCGGCCGCGGGTGGGGACAGCTGCCGGGCTGCTCCGCGCCGCGGCCCGTGTCCCCCGGCCCGGCTCCCCCACCCCTCCAGTGGCTTTCACCCCCACGCTCCCTAATCCAATTTGCAAGTTGGCCGCGCGCCGCCCCCGGCTGGGCCCCCACCCCCGCAGCCCCAATTCCAGAGGCTGGAGCACCGTCTCCTCTTGCCGATGCGTCCCCGGCTCCCGGAACCGGCTCCAGGCGGCGAGGACTGAAGAAGCCCGGCTTGGGGAGGAGACGCAGAAGCGAACCCGGTCCGTCTCCTCTGCGGTCAGGGACCCTCTTCCCCCCTTCGAGTTGCCTCCCTCCCACACGCCTCTCCAGATCTCGTTGTATTTCGGGATGGATGGGGAAAAATCCAAATTTGTTTGTTTGCTTATCTTTTTCTGGTGGTGGGGAAAGGTCGCAGGTTCCTCCGGGACAGTCATGTAGGGGGTCCCCATCTTCGTCTCTTCGCGCGCCTCACGATCCTGCCCCCCCAGCCCATCGTAGACATAACGTCTCCCTCCGCAGCCCCCTGAGCTGCAGCCCCAAGGGTAAGAGTACCTGGGGTGCCCCCGATGCCCACCCAGTGAGGGGGTAGAGTCCCAGGAAGGGGTGACTGGGGGACTTTCATGTCCGAAGCAGTGCCCCCCCTCCCAATCGGCGGGTCAGATCTAGCTCCCTCTCGGACAACTTACCTCGGAGAGGAGTCAAGGGGAGAGGGGAGGGGAGGGGGGAGGGGGCAAGAGAGAGAGGGGGGAGAAGAGGGATCTTCTCGCTTATTTCATTGTTCCCCCATCTTCTGGGAGCGGGGGCAGCGGCTCCTCAAGGCGGCGGGCGCCGGCGTCTTCAGAGCGCCATGCGAGCCGCGGAGCGAGTGTGGCATCTCTACCAGGCGGGGTACCAGCCTCTATGCCAGGCCATATGGGCTTGGCACGTCACGGGCAGCAGCTATCACATGAGAGACGGTGATTGGCATGCGTCTGCATTGGGGGAGAGCCGGCTCCCCCGGGACCCGCCGCCATCTGTCACTCTCTACTCCAAAAAAAAAAAAAAATTAAATAAATAAAGGAAATAAATAAATATCTCTGCCATCCTCCCCTCCCCTCCCAACGCAGGGAAAGCAAGGATTGAGAAAGAGGTGGGAGGATTTGCCCCTCTCAGATACAGAGCCCCCCCACATGGGAACAATGGGGTGGCAATGATGGGAATTGGGGGTTTGTGGTGGCAGCCAGGCCAATTCTACGTGCTCTCCAGGGTCTTGATCTGTCCATTTCCTCCTCTGCAGGTCCCCAAGGTGGGTCAGGCCCAGACCCTTGGGTGTGGAAAAGGGACCTCAGTGCTTACCCCCATTCCCCAAGACAGTCCCCTCCACCACAAAGGGACAGCTGAGGCCTCACTTCCAGGGTGGGTGTGGGGGGCATCCCTGGCCCAAGCCCCATAGGTAGATGTTGGCACCATGCCATTGCTCATCCCTGTCTGCCCCTCCCCCACCCACCCTCACACACACACAACATATGTGGCTGAACAAAATTCAAACCAAGGGAAAGACAGAGAAAGGGAAAGATTTGCCTGGGTGTCTGTGCCTCTGCATGGGTGTGTGTGTGTGTGTGTGTGTGTGTGTGTGTGTGTGTGAACATGTGTGTCTATCTGTGGAGTCAGCGGATGGGAGATGCTTCCTTGGTTGTCAGGGGCATATGTATGTTGGGGTTCGGAGGAAATTGGAGATGAGTTTATGTGCCCCCCACCTCCCATCTGGGGTTAGGGTGGGTGCAGTCTGGATTCCTGACCCAGAAGCATCCTCCTCTTTACTGCCTCACTATCCTTGTTCACTACCAAATAGGTGGCCTCCCACTAGTGGCTTTCTCTCTAGGCCTTCTGACTTGGTGGTTTGAAGGGAGGAGGAGGCAACTGGCTGGGGACTGCCTAGAGTTCCTGGATGAGACTCAATCATTCTCTCCCTGCAGAAAATACAAAAAACACAGAGGTTGACACACACAGTCCCAAGAGGGGCCAAGGAGAGGTAGGCCAGACTGGTGTCTTGGTAAGGAAGATGGGAAATGGCTGCTTTATTTTACAGTTCACCTTTCAGCCCTCTCATTGGGCCAGACACAGATGCAAATGACACTATGGGAGGTTGAAGGAGTGAGGGAGGGAGCCTTAGACACACACAGAGAGACACAAAACGCACACGCATGCACATGCACACCTGTTCCTCACCCTGTGGTGCAGAAAATGGAAACACACCCCTACTCAGAGAGACACGTGTATGAACAGGTACTCATAGCCAGGTGTGGAGACCCTTGCCCACAGGGCATTCAGGCAGGCATTTCTTTCAGATCCAAACATCCCTGTCTCTCCTTTGGCTTACCTGTGCACATCCAATTCCAGTCCGGCTTCCAGCACACACATTCAGAGGTCAGCCATATGTCAAGCGCTGAGTGGCACAACAGTAGAGCAAGAGGAGGGCTCCCTTCTCCCAGTCCCTCCACCCAGATGGATGCTCTCTGGTCTCACCCAGCAGAAGCTTCCTGAGGGGGCCTTGGGCTGGTAAGGCCTGGATTTGATGTTGCAAACTGAACTAGGGTGCTGCACAGAGACCTACACTTTGGTTCAGAAGGTTTGGAGAAGGGGTGCTAAAGCTATCTGGGGCTCTCAGAGGCCAGGAGCTGAAAGAAGCCCAGAAAGTACAGTGTTCACTTTTCCTTCTGCAGAGGCCTGTGCACTGGAATGGACTTACCTAGGAACACAAGATGGAGAGCAAGCTGTCTAGAACCCAGCTCTTCCGCCAACCCAACCATGACCTTGGTGGTTTCCAAGGATGAGAAGCTTTTCATGGGATCTGCAACTAGGTAGTTGAATCTTTCCTAAGTCAGATAGCTTGGCAATGGGGTGGAGACTCGTATCATGGCTGAGGTAGAGGTAAAAGGTTGGGCTTCAGGAGGGCTGACCAGGGCCCCTCCACTTTGGGGCACAGTGTCAAAGGTTTTATTGACCCTTTAGGGGGTACTCACTCTTGATGAATAACCCTCCTCTTGAGCCCAGTGGCTGTGTAATATTTTGGTTACATATACATGCTCTGAGCTTCTGCTTTCTGGCCAACTCTGTTCATGTCCTTTTCTATTTTTTAAATATTTTATTTATTATTTTTATTTTATATGTACGAGTGTATTGCCTGCACATATGTGAGTGGACCTGTGCTGTACAAAGCCACGGAGGTCAGAAGAGGGATATTTTATATGTACGAGTGTATTGCCTGCATGTATGTGAGTGCACCCATGTCATGCAATAAAAAGAGGTCAGAAGAGGGCATTGGATTCCCCTGGAACTGGAGTTAATGACGGTTTGTAGCCACCATGTGGGTGCTGGGAATTGAACCCAGGTCTTCTGCAAGAGCAGTCAGTGCTCTTAACTGCTGAGCCAACTCTCCAGCCCATAAATAAAATATTTTTTTAAAAAATGCTGAATGGCGGGGCGTGGTGGTGCATGCCTGTAGTCCCAGTACTTGGGAGGCAGAGGCAGGTAGATCTCTGAGTTCAAGGCCAACCTGGTCTACATAGTGAGTTCCAGGTCAGCTGGGGCTACAGGGAGACCCTGTCTCAAAAAGACCTAAAAAAAAAAAAAAAAAAAAAATGCTGAATGTCAGACTGGGGATATAGCCCTGTGGTGGGGTGCTTGCTTAGAGAGCACAAAGCCCTGAGTTTAATCACCAGCATAGAAAAGCAAATAAGGGACTGAAGAGATGGCTCAGCAGTTAAGAGAACTAGCTGTTCTTGCAGAGGACTCAGGTTCAGTTCCCAGCACCCACATGGCGTCAACAAATAGGCCAGGGGTGGTGGCACATGCATTTAATCCCAGCACTCAGAAGGCAGAGGCAGGAGAATCTCTGTGAGTTTGAGGCCAGCCTGGTCTACATAGGGAATTCCAGGTCAGCGGGGGCTGCAGGGAGACCCTGTCTCAAAAGGACAGAAAGAAAGAAAGAAAGAAAGAAAGAAAGAAAGAAAGAAAGAAAACACACAAACTCAAGCAAACACACAAACTCATTCTATAACCTTTCTCAGCCTTGATTTCCCTTCCTGTAAAATGGAGATAATTATGCTACCCCTTTTGTACAGTTGCTGTTAGTACTAAGTACACATAATGAGCTTAGGTTAGGGCTAGCAATAAAAGAAGCCTTCAATAAATGCCAGTTTCTATTTTTATTTTTATTTATTTATTTATTTTGGTCTTTTTGAAACAGGGCCTCCCTGTGGCCCCAGCTGTCCTGGAATTCACTATGTAGACCAGGCTGGCCTTGAACTCACAGAGATCCACCTTCCTCTGCCTCCCGAGTGCTGGGATTAAAGGCGTGCACCACCACGCCCAGCTTTTTTTTAAAAAATATTTTATTTATTATTTTTATTTTGTGTGTATACGTGTATTGTCTGCATGTAGGTAAGTGCACCTGTGTCGTGCAATGCCTGTGGAAGAGGGAAGAGGCTGTCAGATCCCCTGGAACTGGAGATATGGACAGTTATTAGCTGCCATGTGGGTACTGGGATTTGAACCTGGGTCTTCTGCAAGAAGTGTTCTTAACCATCGAGCCATCTCTCTAGCCCCCGTTTCTATTTTTATTAAGACACTTTGTAAACTGTAATATGCTTTGTAATATCAATTGCATACATCTATCTTGTCCTCATTCAGAATGCTTTATCTACATAGAAAGGTAATTTTTGTTAAATTAATGGGTGGCTGTATGGATGAGTAGGTGGATGAAAGCTTCGTTGGGGGATAGAGGCATCCCTGCCTTCTACAGTGAGGGTTAAAATCACTGGGGGTCTCACAGGCTCCTCCAGGCAAGCAACAGAATCTTGCTCAGGATAGGAGAGTACTCTGCAGGTTTTCCCATTCCTTCCTTAAGCTCCTGCAGGAGAAGGCCTGGGGCAGGGGTGGGAGAGACAGACCTGGGGTACAGAGAACTTCCTCCCTCTGGGCCTGTTTCCTGTCCCTGTCTTTTCTTCCTTCAGAAAAATGGAACAAGTTTTTCTCACTTGACACATTTCAACTTTTTTTTTAGAAGATACAATAAAAACCAGGGGGAAATTGGAACAGAGGGAGGTGTAGGATGGGCCTGCCTCAGACATGGGCTTGAAAGAGCAGGTACAACATGTATGTCCACATACACACAAGCAGACATGAACACGCATGGACATGCACGTTTCTCTGCACACTCAGAGATGCAGAGATGCAGTAACCGAGAGCCAGAAAGAGCCAGAAATGGAAGGAAGGAGACTAAAGGAGAAGGACACCCAGAGATGCCATCTGTTCCTCCCTGTGGCATTGGGGGAAGGGAGTTAGTGAGGGGCCTGGTCCCCTCCAGGTCTCTGAGAGGAAAAGGAGAGTGGTGGGCTCTTCAGGCAGGCCTGGAAGACTTCCACTTCTGCTGCCCACTCCTCAGGGTGGGAGCAAGGAGCTGGGGGGTCTGAGGTTCCCATGGAGACATAGCCCCATCCCAAGGGAGGCCACAGTCTGGGCACCTAAAATGGCTGCCTCAGAGGGACAGCAGCCATTTTGTTCTGACTCAGGCCTGAGGGGCAGGGGTAAGGGGGTTGAAAGTAGGGAGGAGAGAAGGCAGAGTGCCACAGGAAGGAGACAGGTCATTCTAGGGGACAGGAAGAATGTTCTAGAAAACTTCTCTTTGTACACTCTTACTATCCCTAAATAAATACATTTATGAATTTGACTTTTTTTTTTTCCTTCTGATCCTCAGAAGGACAGTTAGCAGGCTACGAGTGCTCCCTAAATACCATTGGTAGGGGTCAGTGTGAAGAACACTTGATCGTCCACCACAGCACCAGGCCTAGGGAGTAGGGAGCAAGTGGGTCAGACGCAGGTGTCCACCCCCTGGCTGCAATTAGACATCCATCTCCTGGGGCCTCTCTGGCCAGGAGAGGGCAGGTGAGGAGCAGGGTGCATGATGAAGAGGAACTGGTTCTTCAGGTGTGGGGGAAGGGCAAGAGTGGAGACCCTCAAAAGTCATGGGCTGTGTTGAGGGAGGAGGCAGGAGGGGCTGGCTGGCGCTGCCCTGACAGGCACTTGCTCCAGCAGTTTGGAAGCTCGAAGCTCCGCCCAGAGCATAAGAGCACCTGCCATGCCCTTCCCCAGCCCCCTGCCCCACCTCAAGTACCAAGGACGCTGGGGGAAGGGAACCTGCCGCTTCCTCCTGGCTCCGGGGTGGGCACCTGCCCTGCTGCCCCCTCCCCCGCCCGCCGCAGTGTGCCGGGGAGCGGCGGGCGCGCCAGATGGCGTGGCTGGGAATGCGGCGACGTTGCCGGGAGGTGAGGGCTGGCACGGGTGATATGCGGCTGCGTGCCTCGTGTTGCCACTGGGGAGGGGGAAGGGAGGCCGGTGAGGTGTAGCCCCCTCCTTTGGGCCGACCTCCTGTCCTGACCTCCAGCTCAAGTACCAGGATTCTCCTCCACTTCTCTTGGCTTGTTCTAGGCTGGGCCTCGATCCCACCCAGAACAGGAGCTGAGAGTCAGGCTCCAGACCACTGCCACCTCCGGGCTACTCCCAACCCAGGATAAATGGGGGGATGCTACTGAGCTAAATGCCCTGAGGAAGAGAAGGAAGAGGGGCTAGTCCTCCAGCCAAGCCAACCTCCTTCTCAGGCTGTGCCCTTGCTCCAAAAGTGTAGTGACCTTTGCCCCCATAACCTTTGACTTCTTGCCTCTGAGCCCTGCTCCTTCCCTGATGGGTACTGGTCTCCCTGTAGCCAAATTCATCATCCTTCCTCACCAAGATGCTTCCTAGACACCCCCCTCCTAGGAGCCTTCCCTGTCCCCCTTGGAGCTGCATCCCTGTTACAAGGAGAGGTCCTCTCTCCCACCTGTTCCCTGCTTTGCCTCAAGCAGCTACTTGTGATCTCTTTAATCTGAAGCTCTCATCCCTGAGTGGGCCCTACAGGAGTGACCCCTGAGCCTACTGCCTTTGGCTGCAGAGAGGACAGGGGCCACTGGAACCATTTTGAATCTGCTGAGGCAATAAAGCCAAGCTCCCTGACATGCTTAGTGGTCTCCTTGCCTTTTGCACAAATGTCAGTCTGGGGGACTGACTGGGACTGTAGCTCAATTGTAGTGATTGCTCAGCATGTGTGAAGTCCTGGGTTTCATTCCCAGCACCACAAACTGGGTGCCATGAGTCTGTAATCCAGACATTCTGGAGGTGGTAGATCACAACTTCAAGGTCATCTTCTGCTATATAGAGCTCCAGGCCAGCCTGGGATACATGAGACCCTGTCTCAAAAACAAAACAAAGGGGCTGGCGAGATGGCTCAGTGGTTAAGAGCACTGGCTGCTCTTGCAGAGGGTCTGGGTTTGATTCCCAGCACCCACATGGCAGCTAATACCAAGGGATCCAAAACCCTCTTCTGGCCTCCATGGGCACCTCCATGGACAACATGGTGCACTTACATACATGCAGGCAGAACACTCATACACATAAAATAAAAATAAAATCTTTAAAAAAAAAAGGAAAACACAAATGTACTGTGGTAGGCTTGGAGGAAGAGGGAAAGGCCCTCTGCTTTGGGCTCTGACTGACTCCTGGGAGTGCTGACTCCTGCTCCCTGATTCTGGGCTGAGGTGGTGATGTCACAGTGAGGGCTCATGGTACTTGTCAGACTAGTGCCTGTCCTGTGGTAGACCCCCTGCTTGTTCCCCACATCTTTGAGCTCAGTAGCATCCCCCCAGCCTGAATGCCTGAATGTGACCTTGGCTGAGTCCTGCCCTGCTGCCCTGGCACCTTTGCAGAGCTACTCTCCAGTGTCTCAGCACCCTTCTGTCTTACAGGCCTGGGCCCCCTCCCCTCCAAGGGCCCTGGCTGCCCACACTTCCCATCCTGTCTGAAATGCACCAGGATGTGGTGTTCACCTCCTCAGGCCACTGTTTAGGGAACACCCTGATCTGGCTACAGACTGACTCTTCCTCTGCATGAATCAAGGCATTTAACTCTGCCCTTCAGCAGTTCTGCCCTCCACTGCTTCTACAAGCTTCACTGCCTTTGCCTCATATCAGAAGCTGTGCCCTGGCTGTCCCTCCCCCTGGAGCACATCCCTTCTCCATTCTGCCTAAGCATCACCTCCTCCAGGAAGCCCTCCTAAGCAAGAGGCTCCATGTTTCACTTTCCAAAAAGCAGGAATACAGAGTAGTCTTAGTATGTAGGCTGGCATATCAAAGGCCTGCTTTTCCCCCACTATAGGGGGGAGGTGCATTTTTACCTCAGAAGTGAGACCGAAGCCAGGGCAGGACACCTATCCACTGATAGCTGCAGCCCTGCATGCCTCATTCTCCTCAGCCCTGCACTAAGCCCAACACTGCCCAATCTCACGCTTCCCCTCTGTGAAATGGGTGCCTTGATTGCTAAGGCCTGCCTTCAGGGGCAGCAGTGAGCCTCACACCAGCTAACAGGTGTGAACGCTTCAGCCCCTGGCCATCCTGTATACTGCTGATTTTGCCTCCAGCCCTGAATCAGCTTTCATTTTCAAATATTTTGGTTCCTGGGGCTGTCTTCACCATCATGTCTTTGTTTTGCTTTTCTGTCAGGTTTCTGCATAAGCAGTTGGTGGTCTTACCCCCACCCCCACCCCTCCCCCTGCTCCAGGATCCTCACAGGATCAGGCCAGATGGAGAGTCCTATGTGGCTGCAGAGTCCCAGCCTTGGAATCCTCTTCATTTTGGTCAAATCACATCCTCTTCTTTCTTCTCAGCTGTAAGATGGGAATAGAGCCACCTGCCCACCTGCCCATCATGGTCTCGGAGCTGAAGGATGACCAGAAGGACAGCAAGGTACAGGGTGCACTCTGGGGAGGTCAAACCTGATAGATGAAGTTGGGCCCTAGGCTGGGTAGGACAGGGCAATGGGACTCCTCTGCAATTTCCCTAGTGAACTGAGCATGTCCCTGTTGCCTCCCTGGGAAATCAGGACCATAGGTCCAGCCTAGAGAATTCTGGGGCTGAAACTACTGGACATTTTTTATTGACATGTCCCTTGAGCCTGTCACAAGTGCTGGTACTCACAGGGGACAATTTCAAAGGGTTCCCTGGGCAGGGTGTATGTGGAGGGCACATCTTGCCTCAGCCTGAGGAGACTGGAGCTCAGGACAGTTGGTGTTAGACTCAGCCATTGCTTCTTCCTCTTTGCGGCCCTGAGGGGCAGGATAGCCTGGGAAGGACAGCTTGCCTCAACAGAAGAGGTGGTTCTTCTTCCTTTTCCTCTTCCTCCTCTTCCACCTTCTCTCTCCCTCCTCTTTCTCTTTTCTCTTCCTCCCCTCCTCCTATTCTTCCTCCCTCCCCTTCCTTCTCCTCTATTTTTCCCTCCTCGTGGTGCTGAGGCTAGAACCCAGGGCCTCTTACACACTAGGCAAGTGCTCTACCACTGAGCTACAACTACCAGCCCTAGAAGCTTCTTCACTATGGTTCACTGGGAGGAACAGAAACATCCTAGGGCCTGGGGGTTAGCTGCTTCATGGACCAACCTCCTATATTTATTTATTTATTTATTTATTTATTTATTTATTTATTGGGCCACATGCATGCCAGGCCAGCACTCTACCAACTGAGCCCTCTATCTCCCAAACACCTGATAGGAAATTTTTATTGCTGCCCAAGGGCTTCCATTGAATCATACTACACTTGTTGTTTCTAACATTGTCCAGCTGTGAAAATGAGAAGAGGCAAAAGGAAATGTATTAAACTCTGAATATTTATTAGAGAAGCAAAGATCCTTAGGTTGATTCCTTCAATGAAAGTTGGTCCCTTATCTTCTGCCTCTTATCCTTTGAAGGTATCTTCAGTCATCTGAGAAGTACCTCGGAGACAGGGTCTCCCTGTACCCAGCTGGCCTGGAACTCACAGAGATCCACGTGCCCCTGCCTCCTGAGTGCTGGGATTAAAGGCATGCGCCACCATGCCTGGTTTATTTATTTACTTATTTTAAATATTTTATTTATTATTTTTATTTTATGTGTACGAGTGTATTGCCTACATGTAGATAAGTGCACCCGTGTGTGCATTGCTTGTGGAGGACAGAAGAGGCCATCCGATCCTCTGGAACTGGAGTTATGGACAGGACAGTTGTTAGCTGTCATGTGGGTGCCGGGATTTGAACCCGGGTCTTCTGCAAGAATAACCAGTGTTCTTAACCGCTGAGCCATCTCTCCAGCCCTTATATATTATTTTTATTTTATGTGTATGAGTGTCTTGCCTGCATATAAATGCATCCGTGTTGTGTGTAATGCCCATGGAGGTCAGAAGAGGGTGTCAGATCCCCTGGAGTTCTGGATGGTTCTTAGCTGCCATGTGGATACTGGAAACTAAACCAGGGTCCTCTGCAAGAGCAGCCTGTATTCTTAACCACTGAGCCATCTCTCCAGCTTTCCTCCCCCCCACCCCACCTCCTATTTTACAGAGAAGAAACCACAATACAAACGGGAGCAACTTGCCTGACCTCCTTCAATAAGTGAGTGGCAGAGCTGGGACTAGATACCATGACAGTTAGTAATCTGGTACTCCCAGTCCTAGAGAGACTGGGGCAGGAGGACCACCATTTAGAGGACTGCCTGGGCTACAGAGCAAGACCCTGTCTCCAAAAAAAAGCACTTTGGGGTCCTGTCCTGGAATCTCAGAGCACTCAGTAAGACTGTAATGACAGAAGTTGGTTTTATTACACCTTTATTTGTGTCTGTGTGTGTGAAAGGAGCATGTGCCACAGCACACCTGTGGTGGTCAGAGGACAACATTCCAAGTGGGCTCTCTCTTTCCATAACTCAGGTCCTCAGGTTTGGTGGGAGACACCTTTACCCACTAAGCCATCTTGCCATCCCAGAGCCAGGATTTGAACCAGTTCTATGAGGTCCGGAATCTTGGGTTTATTAACAATAGTAACCTGTGCCCCTCTCTTTGAAGTCCAGATGATGTCCAAGATGTAGGAACAGGTGGCCCAGCTGTGAAGGAAAGGAGGGGCCCTTGATAAAGCTTGTGCCAAGGGTTTGCCCTCTATCCAGGCCCCCAAGTCACAGCAGCCAGTGCCCACAGGGGCACATGGGCTTCCTCTATGCACAGGGAGGAGCAGTCTCATTAGACCTTGACCTCCCCAACAATGCATAGACTTTCCCTCAGCTCAGAGAAGGCACTCTGCCCTCCTTGCCCCTGCAGGCCCAGGGTGATGCTTCCTTCACCAGGAAGTCCTCCCTGGTTTCTCCCCAGGATACTCTGCTTTCTCTGGCCCTTAGCTCCCATTTGGGGGTGAAAGGAGCAGCTTGCTGAACCCCAGCTTTACCACAAGCTCCCCTGCCTTGTTTTTCCAGCGTAAACTGGGACTAAGGAGCCGGGCCCCCCGCAGAATCCCTGAGGGATAGGAAGCGGCATCCATGAAGAAGCACTTGGCACTCAATGTGCCCCCCCCCCCCCCCCCCCCCCCCCCCCCCCCGCCACTTGCTCCTTTCGCCTACGTGTCCTTCATCCGCCTTGCTCCGGGTTCTCGGCTCACCATCCCCGCCCGCGCATGGCACGGCGCCTGGCGCGCCCCAGCCGCCAGATCCCGCCCGCAGCCCTGCCTCGGTGCCCGTCGGGCTCCCTGGCACGTGCCCCGTGCCCCCCTGACCCGAGCCGGGGCTGTTCCCCTCCGGCGCGCGCCCGGAGCCCGCCCTGGGACTCAAGTGGCGAGGATGGGAGGTGGGGTCGGCAGCGGCGGGAAGAGGACACTGCGCCTTTAAGGTGCCACCGCCTCGTGGCAGGGAAACAGCTTGTGCCGGCCCCATTCCGCCCGGCTCCGCTCGCTACAAGAAACACAATGCATAACAATCAGGCGCGCGCTTGGAGCCAAGCCACCCGGCGCGGGAGGGGCGGGCGCGGCCGGCGGGCTGGGCGCAGGGGTCGCGACCCCCCGCCCCGAGTCCGCGGGGGCCCGGGTGCTCCCCAAGAGGGCGCTTGGCACCCGGCACCCAGCACCCCGCGAGGAGCCCCGCCCGGGCCGTGCTCCCGCTCCGCGCTCCTTGCAAAGTTCATTCCCACTAACTCTTTTCCAGGCCACTTCCCCCTCACATCTGACAATCCGGGGCCCTCATTCTCCCAGTAATCACTCCACTGCACTAATTGCACATGCAAATATGCAAATGCGTATTAATTAATTACTATACTAATTAGTTCTGTGGTATTTGCGAGTAATAAATCATTGGATGGGAGCGAGGAAGCTGGAGACCTGGCCCATTTTCATTCTGCATAAAATTTTAATGGTCTCTCTGGCTGATCCGGGACGGCAGCGCACGGAGAGGCTCTTAAAGGGCCAGAGGAGGAGGGAAGGGGCAGGGACCGGGAGCACCCGTTGACCCTGGCAGGGGCTGGCACCCCGGGAGGCCTTGAGAAGCAGCCCAATGCTCTACAGGGGCTGTCTTGAGCTTGCAGTTACCCCCTATCCTATGCCACCAGGAGCTACATGTCCCCCGGGATGGCTTCTAAAGAGAGAATACCAGCGAGGAGGAGAAGGCTGAACCCGTTTTTCCTTTCTTTAAGAAAGGAAAGAGGGCAAGAGCTCGGAAAGGCCAATGCCAAGGCCTTTGGGGACCCAGAGAGCCTGAGATACAGGCATGAACACTTCATCCCCTTGATGGCTGGGTAAACCAAGGCAAAAGGACAAGGCAATGTTTTTAATCCTATCCTCCTGTTCTTGAGGGATGTCCTGGATAGTCTTTTCTTGTCTCTGGTGGTGACCACCAAGGTTAGGGGTACTTCTAGCCTTCCTTTCCATGCGATCAAACCACAGCCCTGCTCCGGTGGCACCAGCTGGCACCCTGGCAGAGCAGTCCTGGGCTTGAGTAGGCCCCTGGGATCCTGCTTTATTTCCAGGACATAGGACCCTGGGCACAGGGAGGGAGCTGGCTGCTTAATTGACTGGAGAGGTGGAGAGATCAGAGTGGGCCCAAGCCAAGGTATGGAGGATGCCAGAGGTGAGCACAATGCGCAGGTGGGGCCTAGGGTCTTGTCCTGAGCCACAGTCCCCCATGCCATGCCCTCCAGTCCACTCGTGCTCACTCTCTAACCTGCCACACATGTGTGTGGCCACCTTGTGGGGCAAAGCCTCAGAGGGCCCCTTTCTACCCAGGACTGGTCTAACCTCAGCAAACATTCATGCATTTGAGGAACTGTCCCAAGAGCCCTAGGTGCCTCACAACCACCCTGTGACATAGTTCTGTTATAGTCCCCATTTTATGGATGGAAAATTGAAGCATAGGAAGGTTACATGACTGGCCCAAGGTGACCAGTTGAGAGGAGAGTCATGGAGCTTAAACTCAGGCAGCATAGCTTTGGCACCTGCATCCCCCTCTCACTCTTCCACCATACCCACAACACAACCCCTTCCCCCCACCAGGTCCTATGGAGCGCTTCATGGGCAGCATCCCTTTCCACCCTCGCAACCACCCAGGATGTGAGTTCTGGGACATGGAACCCAGGGCTCAAGGCAGTTGATCAAATTGCTCTGGGCCACACAGCAAGGTCAAGATGACTCATTCTTTGGTGTGTGGGGGAGGGTCAGGAGAGAAAGGGAAGGGTTATGGCAGCCCCTGGTACCCCTGGTGACCAGAGAACAGGAGAGAAAATGGAAAGGCTTTCAGCTAGACTGTGAGAAGAACTGGCTTCTGGGATGTAGGGGAAGCAGGCTGGGAAGGGGCTATGGCTGCTGAAGTGGGATGAGGGCTGAGGAGGAACAGAAGGGACCAGAGGGAGAAAATCCAGGCAGAACACTGTAACTCAGGGATCCTGGGTGGTTTTTCTTTCAGTTTTCTCTGGAACATCTCTACCTGTTCTCCAGTTCCCCCTAGAAATCCTCTGGAAACTTTTACACCCAGGTGCTGCTGCTAAGAGGGGAGGGCCTAGGAGCTCCACCCATTTTTGCAGTAGAGGGAAGAGATAATACTGAATTTGTAATAAATCTCTTTTTTAAAAACTATGTACTTATGTACATCAGTTTGTTTCCTTTTCACAAGAATCTTATCTTCCATTTTACAAATGGAGACAGTGAGGAAGGAAAGAGAGGTTTGGGAGCTGTCAAAGATCACACAGCTAGTAAATGGTTGAATCAGGATTTGAACCCCTGGCTGCTGTGCTTTCTTTGCCTTGCTGCTTCCTATGTTACAAGGCTTATGGTATAGCCAGATTGATGTCCCTGTCCCACACATTAAGGATCCCAGAGCAGTAGACCCGCATCCTCGGTACCTCTTAACATTCAGAAGACCCAAGCTGTCCAACTCTGCTGAAAAGGGGGCATCTCTCTGAAGTGGGTGTTATCCCAGCATCCCCTGCATCCTCCCAGCCCACCCTTGAGAGAAAGCAAGGTCAGGGCTTCTGTTAGCATCTGTCACTGGGACCACCCTGACAGGGAAACTAAGATTCCAGAGTTCTCAGGCAAGAACCCTTGGGCCAGTCCAGGGTCCCAAGGCCTCTCAATGGCCCAGGGGGACTTCTCTAGGGAAGCTAGGCACTTTCATCTCCCAAGAACCAGGGGAAACTTTTCTGCCATCTTCTGGGTCTGGGAGTCTGGGGAGGGCTGGTGGGCATTGAGAGGAACGGCCTCCCCTCATTTCAGTCCTCAATCTGGGTTCATCTGCGTTTCCAGTATCTGGGGCCATAGGGGCAAGTTGGGGGCTGGTGGGTAAAGAAGACAGGAGGGCCAGGCTGGCAGCTCTGAGCTTCTCCATGCAACCCCCAGGGCCGGGTGCCTGGGCAGGAGGCGGGGGCAGAGCAGCTGCTGGCGATTTATTAAGCAGTCACGGAAAAATTGGTTTATAAATTAACAGCTGTTTTAACTTTAGGGCCTCTTCTTCAGGGAATGGAAGCAGCCGACTGGACCGGGATTGGAGTGTGTGTGAGGCTGGTGGAGGGAGCGGGAGGCGGTAAGCTCCAGCAGCTGGCATTCTTCGGGGGCAGCCTCAGCTGGCACCTCGGGGGGCACCAGGCAGTGGCCAGAGCAGGGGGTCTCCAGGTGCTGGCGGCTGACGTTGCCCCCCGCGGTGGGCTGCAGCTTGCTCTCTTCCCAGCTTCCACGTGGGGGCGCCAGAGGGCACAGATGAGACCGTACTCGTTTCTGCCACCAGAGGGCAACCTCGGCACGTCAATTTCGATACCCGCTGGACGCGAGAAAATCCAAGTCCAAAGCTAACCGCGGAGAAGCCCGCTCCGGGGAGTGCTAGCCATCGTCCACCCGTCTGTCGTGAACGTGTTAAAGACATCAGTAAAGAATGAGGACCCCAGGGCTGGGGGGGGGGTGTAGCTCAGTGGTGGTCTAGCCTGGGCAAGGCTCTGGATTCCATCTCCTGAACAACAACAACAAAAGGTGGTGGTGGAGCCGGGAGACTCTGGAAGTCAGGGTTTCTGTGAGGGTCTTGCGTTGTGGCCCAGATTGGTCTGGAACTCCAGGGTCCTGAGTTGTTGGGATTTCAAGTATGAACCACCACATTGGCCAGGACTGTCTGCACTTTGTCTCTGGACAAAAGCTGCTGAAGCCCCCCTGAACCTCTGTTGTCCCATCTGTAAAATGGGATAATCCTAGATGATTGAAATACTGCACATAAAGGTCCATGACAGAAGTTCCATACAGGATCTTTTTACTTTGTGTCTATGAATTATAAATTATTATAAAATATTTTTTAAAAGATAGATGGTAAAAAGGACAAATTCTTTTGAAAAAACTTTTATGTGTATGCGTGTATTGCCTGCATGTAGGTAGGTGCATCCTTGTCGTTCAATGCCCGCAGAGGACCGAAGAGGCTGTCGGATCTCCTGGAACTGGATTACAGACAGTTGTTACCTGCCATGTTGGTGCTGGGAACCAAATCAGGATCCTTAACCATCTCTCCAGCTCCAGGACCAAAAAAATTTTTTGGGGGGGTCTTTTTGAGACAGAGTCTCCCTCTGTAGCCCCAGTTGGCCTGGAACTCACTGTGTAGACCAGGCTGGCCTGGATCTCACAGAGATCTGCCTGCCTCTGACTCCTGAGTGCTGGGACTAAAGGCATATGGCCACCATGCCTAGCTCTCCAGGACAAAATCTTAAAATCATATGCTAAGAGATATGATTCAGATAGAACCAGTGAGGGGAGGAAGACCAAGTCTAGTGAGACATGAGGACGTTTTGGGGTGGCTGCAGTATTTTTTGTGTTGTTGTGATGGTCACACAGTATATAAAATTTTAAACCAGGCATGGTGGCCCATGCCTTTAAACTCAGCACTTGGAGACAGAGACAAGAGGATCTTTGAGTTAAAGGCCAGCCTGAACTACAGAATGAGACTTTGCCTCAAGGTGGTGATGATGATGATGATGATGATGATGATGATGATGAAAATATTGTTTTTTTTTTTGTCTTTTTGAGACAGGGTCTCCTTGTAGCCCCAGCTGTCCTAGAACTCACTATGTAGACCAGGCTGGCCTTGAACTCACAAAGATCTGCCTGCCTCTGCCTCCCAAGTGCTAGGATTAAAGTTGTGCGCCACCACGCCCAGCATAAATTATTTTCATTTTAGTTTCTGTGTATAAGTATATTGCATGCATGCATGAAGTGCACCTGTGTCCTGCAATACTCTCGGTGGTCAAAATAGGGCATCGGATCCCCTGGAACTGGAGGTACAGATGACTATCAGCCACCATGTGGGTGCTAGAAATCGAACCTGGTTCCTCTGCAAGAGCAGACAGTACTCTTAACAACTGAACCATCTCTCCAGCCCAATAAATTATTTTTTAAAATTTCATTGAAAGGTGTATGGTTAAAATTATTAGGTTTTGTTGTTCTTAAAGTTTTTAAAGCACATAGGCAGCAATATGAATACTGAGTGGCAAAAAGGTAGCTTCTGGACCAATAGATGAAAGGATGTCTCAGATGGGCAACAGCCTGACCATCTGAGTCAAAGAGTACCTTTGTCTCTTTTTTGCTTTGTCCACAGGGTTCCCAGAGATGGACCTTGGAATTCTTTTCCTTGCTCCTTCCCCCCAAACCTCTCCTAGTGGCAAGGAAAGATGGCCCTGTGTGCCCAGCTGGTGCTCTCCAGCTTCAGCTTCCGTAAGGCTGCTTCTCAGGACTTCCTGAGGCCTCTCTTCCAGCTGCCACATGCCAGTCTTTCCAGTTCTAGCTCAGCTCAGTGGTGCCAAGGTCACCAGTGCGATGCCCAACTATAGACCCACAGTGCCAGCCAGACATGCAGCCACCTAAACCCTGGCTGATTCTGCCACCTGCTGGCGCTTTCCAGAACTGTATCTCCAGAGTAGCCAGGAAGAGGAACCTTTTGAAGACTAACCAGGAATCCTGAATTGTGATGGGGCTTATATTTTATCATGTTGATCATCACAGCCATTGTGCAAGGTGAGCTTCTAAATATAAAGAAACAGAATCACGGAGAAGCAAATAAACGTGTCCAAGTGCACACAGTCAACTACAGACCTGAGATTCCTATCCAGAGCTGTTGAACTTCCAGGGTCTGTGCTTGGATTGAGGAAGAATATTCCTGATTGTCCTCAAAGGAGTCCCTGAAGCACCTTCTCAAAGTCATCTTCCAGAGAGGAAGGGTGTAATGGCTCATGCATGCCAGGAACCATAGCAGGCCACCGGCAACCAAGAGAGGGTAAATGGCAGGAGAAACACTACATCAAAATAGCATGCTCAGACCCAAGACTTTAATAGACATGTCACCATTAACTTTGTTAGTCCAAGCAGGAAATCCAGTAGTTCGGAGTTAAGTCAAACGAGGTCTTGAATTTGTTCTTTGGACCTAACTGCCTGTGCTTCTAACTCAAGAATAATAACTGAGGAGTGGCATATTATTTTAATATCTGATTTGCATATGATTAATTCCAAGCCCAAGTGAATGGAAAGTCACGGTGGCCTCTTTGCGTTTCAGCCCTCCCACCTGCTAGGCCAGACCCCTCCTCTAGCCCTCACTGAGCCCTGCCACCCCCACCGGCCTCTGTTCACTCCTTGCCCCTGCCCTGTCCCTCCCCCAGCTCCCAGTAATGCCTGTTCCCTTCCTTTTCTGTCGCCCACGCAGCCCCCGCCACCTGGCCGCCCACCGGAAAAACTTTTCCCCAAGTTCTTGAGAAGTCGCGTAGGATCTAGGAGAGAAAAATCAAAGTAATAAAACCTCATCTAATTCCTAACGGAGGGCAGAACTGTGAGCTGCAATTATCTTAATGCCGAGCTATTTTTAATCTCCATCTCTGTCTCCTGCCTCTCCGTCGTGAGGCTTTCTTCTCTTGCTTCCCTTTGTCTCTTATCTCTCACATGGGTCTTCTTCCCAGTTCTTTTCGCTGTTACCCACCCCCCACTCCTCCTAGCTCTAGGCCTCTCCCCTTCTGCCTGTCCCCTGCATGTGTAGCTCCTGTCTTCCAATTTTTCCCATTCCTCCTGGTCAGAGGGTTGAGGTACAAAACACACTCTGCACCCAAAGGCCTATCTTCTAGGAAATTTGTGCTCTTGTCACTAGACTATCCAGGCATTGGAGTGGGACTTTTCCTGATTGTGGGCTCCAAAGCAGAGCCTCTAGGTCAAACCTGTGTGTTCCAGGAAGGTGGCCTTTTCAGCCCTGAGTGCTGAGGTGCTATGAGAGTCATGCCCTTGTCCCTGTCCTCTTACCATTGCCCTCTTTATCTACCACACACCCCTTCCTAGCACTCCAACAGGGGAAGCCCCAACCCCCTACCCCAACATTGGCTCTGAGGCTGTCCAGGTTACTGCCTGGCCACACCCTTCTTTACCCTTCCAAGGCACTGCCAGCCTGGGCTTTGCCACTCTTCGCCACAGCCCTATCTGGAAGAAGGAAGGGTCCTGGACGAGGCTAGGGGCTGCCAGAGATGCTTAAGCCCCAGGGCCAGCAACCCATCATGGGCTGTTTCCCAGTTAAGTATGTAAGTCAACAAGCTGCAGCCAGGCCTAGACTGGCAGATGTGGAGCCCAGCCACCAGGACATCCCATTCCCAGGAACAAAGCTTGGGCCCCCTGCCACCCTCTCACTCACTCAACAGAGGACACTGAGTCTGGGGCAGAACAGCATGCCCCTGACCTCATTTCCACAAGGCTCCTATGGCCTCTCTACCAAGAAGCCAGAGGGCTGGGGCTGAGAGTGGAAAAATTACTGGTGGAGTTGGGGGTGGAGTGGGGAGGGCTCCTGGTGTTCCTGGCTTGAGAGTGACCAGGAGCGAGGACAGCCAACACAAACACAACCCAGGAGGGCACACACAGGCACAGGTCCACATAGGCCCCTTCTGGGTCCTACAGAGAGGCATTCAGTCCCTCCTGCCAGTCCTACAGAGGGCAGTGCCAGCTCCTGCAGAGACTCAAGGGCCTACACACACACACACTTTGTAGAGAAGGCTGGCACCTTGGGAACACACACACCTCTCTCCCCCAGCTCTGTTCCCCAAGGCACCAAGCTCACACACGTGATGGCACGTGTATTGGTAAGGCAGCCCCCCAACCCTGCCCCCTGGGCTGGCTCTGCCCCCTCCCCCAACAGATCCGAGCAGAAAAGGGAGGAGACACGTGAATGCTGGGTACATCACGGCAGGGACGCATTCCCCTCTCCCCTGGGGAATTCGCTATCACACTTGCAGTCCCAAGCCCCTCTCCTGCACAGGCCCCCAGCAAGCTGGCACCCGCCAGCCCATCACCTTGACAGCCTCTGACATTCTCCTCCACACCCACACCCTCCCCCGCACACGCACAGTCCTCCCACACGCTGCCACTCACACCCGCATCGTTGACACTCTGACACACTTTACGTAGACTCACACACTCACACCACACCGACCCCCACCCTCCCAGCTATAGCACCCTGGGCCCTTGGCACTCACTTGGCAACATACTCCCTACCACGATGACTGACATGTGTCCTCCCACGCACACCTCGTTCACACTCGCTTTCTAGGACACCCCCATTCACAGCGTGACATGCTGACACGCTGTCCTCGACCTCACAGTCCAGGTCCCCGGGGCCTGAAGTGGTTAAGGCCAGAGCCCCCGCTCCCGGGGCCCCTGCCCCCTTCCCTTAGCCTCGCGGCTGGACTCCATCAATAATGCAGAGCTGAGTCCTGGGGTGACGGCAGGGGGCCCTGGCCGCTCCCCGGGTCCTGGCTCGCACTCGAAACCCGCCTCCCAGCCACGGGAGAACACGTTCCTCGCACCTCATTGGCCGCTTTCTCCTAGGCCCTCCCTCCGAGCGCCTGGCCCAGTCCCAGGCGAAGGGGACTGGCTGGGACCCCAGGGTTGGAACCTGTGGGGTGAAGCCAGCAGACAGAGGCCGGGAGAAGAGGAAGGCAGAGAGAGAGAGACAGAGGCAGGTGCGGCGAGGACAGCTCTCCCGGACCGCACAGAGCGCAGGGTGGGAGCCCGGAGCCCCGCGCCCCAGCCAGGCAGCCGAGGCGCGGAGACCGCGAGCTCGGGCTGGGGGCGCCGAGCCCAGCGCAGCAGGCGAGCCCGGAGGTCCAGCCATTCCGGCGCTCGCTCGCCTCCCCTAGCCCGGCGCGGGGCTGTCCTCGGTGCGGGGATAGCGCTCCTCCTCCTCCCCCGGCACTGGCCGCGGGCAGCTCGGGGCAACAGTGCAGGGACCAAACTCTCGGGAGAGCCCAGGTGCACGCTGCCCGCCATGGACCCCAAGGACCGCAAGAAGATCCAGTTCTCGGTGCCCGCGCCCCCCAGCCAGCTCGACCCCCGCCAGGTGGAGATGGTAAGGGGCCGCGCCCCATCCCGGCCGCGCCCCCATCTCTCACTCCCGGCGCGGCCCCGCTACTCGCCTGCCAAGCCGGGTCAACCGGAGGGTGGGAACCCTGCTTGGACCGCTGCGGGGATGTCCCGCAGCGCGCGAAGTTCTCTGGAGACTTCTAACAACTTTTTCCCCACCGCGGATCTCCGCGCTGAACCCGGGCGGGAGAATTCCGGCACTGAGCGTCTGGGGACCCTTGGCTTGCGGGACCGCCCTATCGGCCCCGCACAGCCCCGCTAGACTAGTCCTTTTCCCACCCGGACCATATCACCCTGGTGGCAGCCTCAGAGCTGCACACGTGTGAATGTTACACAGCTTAGGCATCTGAGGCTGTTACCTCAACCACTCAGGGCCTGAGAGACCACAGTTCCACCCTGCAGGCCTTGCCTGGGGTTCCCCCAACCTTGCCGTTTCTGCTATCAAGCCCTAGAGCCCCAACCCCTGGGAGGTCATTTCTTTCTAGGGGACTGAGAGACCCACAAAAATGAGGGGCAGGTGGTTGAGGCAGAGGTCTTTACCCCATAACCTAGCAGGGATGCCTGTTGCTGAGACACTGCTACAGCTTTGAAGAGGGCAGTGAAAATTGAGGCCTGCGCCTAGCAGCTCTTGGCAGGAGGCGGCTACCACTTTGGCTTTCAATTACCTGTTTCTCCCTCCATTTCCCTGGAGCTCAAAGGGGACCTAATTAACCGACATTTGGTCTGATTCCCAAGCTAAGGGTGGGCCAGGAGGACAACTTTTCTTTTTTCATGGGAACTGAGTGAAGAGTTCCCACAGTCTGAGAAAGCCTGCCCTAGGGGCCCAGACCCCCATCTCCAGAGACACTTGCAGATCTCTGGGTGTCTGGGGGTTCAAGCCCACACCTGAGCCTCAGGTAAGGTTGGAGGTGACTGCAGTACTGGGCTCAGATTCCTTCTGCAGCTGGGTCCAGTTTCTCTGGAGCCCTTGAGCTGTCCTCAGGTGGGTAGGGCCATGGGGACCTTCCTCAGAGGGCCCTCACTGGCTGTAGGAGCTGTAACCAGCTTTGGCTGTCAACGTCTTCAGAAACTGGGAAGAGGAAGGGCCTTGGTGGGAGAAGACCAAAAGAAAGATGGTGGCTCAGGAGTAGCTGTGGAGAGGGACACATTGGGCTGGGAGTCAGTGGAAGCTTTTTCTAGTCCTTTGGACTCAGTGTGCTGTGTGACCTTGAGCACATTGCTGGATCTCTCTGAGCTTTGGCATTTTCATCCATGTAAAATGAAGGGATTGGGTGAGTTACAAAGCAGCTCTAGTGGCCTTTGATGCAAAGGCTCCCTGGGGACTCCAAAGCACTGCTTTCCAGCTGGCTGAGGGTGAGGGTGAGGTGGGCCTTTAGGGTGTTTATCCTGCCTTTCTTTCCTCCATCTTCAGATCCGGCGCCGGAGACCAACCCCTGCCATGTTGTTCCGGCTCTCAGAGCACTCCTCGCCAGGTAGGACCCCTACCTCAACCCTGATGTCTTCCTGAGGGCCCTGACCTGTAAGCAGGCAACAGGCTGGAGACTGAGGACTGGATAAGGCCTGGAAGTCCAATTCAGCTGGGTTGGTTTACTGGCTGGGCACCTGCCAGCATCAAGAGGGAAGGACACATTTCTGCTGTCCCAAAGACTGAGGCTTGAGGGAAAGTAATCTGATTCTTTCTTTCTTCCTCCTCTCCCTTCCACTGCGGTCGGTTTTGGTGGCTTCCTTTAGAGGAGGAAGCTTCGCCCCACCAGGTGAGTTTCCTGGAGCAGCTGGGAGGACACAGCTGGGCCCTTTGGGGTGGGGTGGATGGGTGTCCACACAGCTAGCCACCAACACTGGCTACCACAGGACACATTAGCATATCAATTGCACCTCCTCCAGGGAATGTTGCCAAGTAACAGCAGTAGACACTCCTCTCTGACTGGAGTGGAGTGTCCAGGACTGAGGGTCCTGCCCTGAGCCAGGCCCCCCTGGGACCTTCTCAAAGCAACAGGGTGAGGCTCGGCCTAAGTACCCCTTTCATTGGCCAAAACTGCCCAGAGTGCCCCATTGGAGGGAGAAGAAGGGAAGGGGTCTCTTGGAAGCCTATTTCACCTGCCTCTTCCCTGCAGAGAGCCTCAGGAGAGGGGCACCACCTCAAGTCGAAGAGACCTAACCCCTGTGCCTACACTCCCCCCTCACTGAAAGGTACTAACCCCACCCCTCCATCTGTCTACAGGAGTTGGGCTGACATGGGGAAGGAAGGGGAAATGTCAGCTAGTGTCAGCAGGAAGGATTGTCACCATGTTACTGCCAGACTTGGAGACTAGTTATTTCTTAGGCTAGTTTTGCAAAAGAAAACTGCCCAGAGGCTGCAAAAGGATGGCTTTGTTCTTAATAGTAGGTTCAAGGGTTGAATGGCAGAGCTGGCTAGCTCGAAGATGGGCATTGAGGTGAAAGACACTTGGTTCGGTCTTTGCTGGGCCACATCCAGCCCCTGCTTTCACCTCTGGCTTCACCTCCACTTGCAATTCTGCATCCTGGACTCTCCTCTGCAGGCTTTCCCTTCTGTATCCTTCCTATAGCACACACTGAGTATATGCCAGGCCTCACTGGTGGACACTGAGCAAAATAAGATGAGGAAGATCGGGGGATCTCAGAGTGCTGTTCAGTGGTAGAGTACTTGCTTCAAATGCGCAAGGCCCTGGGATCCTTCCCTAGCAATGGAAAAAAAAAAAGTCCAGTGTGGTGGTGCAAGTCTGTAATCTCAGCACTTAGGAAGCAGAGGCAGAGGCAGGTGAATCTCCATGAGTTCAAAGCCAGCCTGCTCTACATATCTAGTGCCAGGCCAACCAGAGCTGCATATAGAGACCCTGTCTTAAAAAAAATAAATAAGAAAGAAAGAAAGAAAGAAAGAAAGAAAGAAAGAAAGAAAGAAAGAAAGAAAGAAAGAAAGAAAAAGAAAGCCAGTCTTGGTGGCTTATATCTGTAATTCCAGCACTTAGGAGGCTGAGACAGGAAGATTGTTATGAATATGAGATCAGCCTGGGCCACATAGTGAATATCAAGTCAGCCAGTACTATACATAGCAAGACCTTGGTTCATGAAGAAAAAATGGATGATTTGTTCCCTGGCCTCCTAGGCCTGTTGTCTCCAAGGATCAGGGAGAGTTTGCAGAAGGGAGGATGCTAAGGCCTGCCTTTGAAGGGTCAACAGGCAAGAAAGGCAGGCAAAGAAGGTTGCAAAGGGCTAGAGGTGTGAACCTAGGAGGCTTAGGGCTGGTGTCTGGCCCAGAGCTGTGGGAGATACACCTCAAGGAGGAGCAGGTACAGTTCAGGCATGCCAAAGGCCTCTTCCTAACTAGGCACCAGGTGCCTACCTCCCCTGCCAGAGGCCCTTCCTGCCTGGCTTGCCCACTCCGGCTTGGGGCGGGGCAGAAGGGGGTTCTAAGAGCTCCCCCATGTTGAAAACGGTTTTCCTTCGCCAGCCAAGGTCAACAGGTGCACCTGTCAGCCCAAGATTAGGAGCAGAGGGGAGAGGCCATGAGGAGAGGGAGAAGGGTGGGGTGCTTTCCTTTTCCCAGGACAGAAAAATGAACGGGCAAAGCTCCAGCCAGCGGCAGTGCGAAAGGACTTCTTCACGTGCAGGGACCTGTGGAAGGGCTCAAAGCAGGCATCAAGACAAGCGGCATGTTTCAGGGGGGAATATAAGAAATCTGCCTCCCAACTCAGTTGGCAGAGTACTTGCCTAGCATGCAGGAGGCTTTGGGTTCGCTCTTCAGCACTGCATAAACTGGGTGTGCTGTAATCCTAGCACCCAGGAGGCAGAGGTAGGAGGATCAGAAGTTCAAGGCTGTTCTCAGCTACATAATGAATTTGAGGCCAACTTGGGATACATCATGAGACCCTGTCTCAAAATAAAAAATAAAATAAATCTGCGTTTTCCCCACTCTAGGTTGGGTGGATGTGAGTGGGGAGAGCCACCTCCTGGGTTCTTTGGGAGAGATGCTGAGGATGGAAGCTAGGGCCTTGCACACACTAAGCATATACTCTACTGCTTAACTATATCCAGTTCAGCCCTGTCTGTGTTCTTGGTTGTGTGCTTTGGAGAGTGGGCCAAAGTAGAGGAGTTTAGGGCCACAAAGCCTTCTGTGGACCCTGAATAGCCAAAAAAATGTGCTTTACCCCTGTGGGCTGTGTCTTACAGAGTCTAGACAGGGAGAGATAGGGACATGGAAAGGGGTCTGGAATAGGCTGTGCTGGGGTTCTTGGAACTTAAAAAGATTTGAGATAGGGGGATTTTAGGGTCCCAGAAATGGAGAAGCTAAAGGAGATAGTACAGTAGGAAAAGAATAGACTCTAGAACCCCCAGAGGGGCACGAGGAGGGCTAGGTGAGGCATGCAGGAGCTCACGGGGCTCCAGCACGGGTGCTGCACACACCTATTGTCACTGTGGATCACGAACTAACTCCTCCCCCGACTAGGGAGAAGGAAGCTGCCCGGCTGCCACCCCCTCCTGCAACCCCCCCCCCATACCTCAGGGGCCTTCTATATCAACATGGCCCTGTTTGGCAGGCTTTTCCCCTTTCTGAGCAAGGGAAAATGTCAGGCAGAATTGGGGGCTTGTAGGGGAGGATTCAAGGGACCCCAGGGAGAGGGAACAGGACTAAGACTCAGCTGACAGGGGTGGGGGCGGTGAAGGGTCCTTCTACGCTAGAGCTCTTTGACTTGGCTCAAGGTGAAACTTTGCCAGGTCCCGTAGGCCAGGCCAGGGAGATTTATTATGATTTTATTGCCTGGGTAGCTTGCCCAGAGCCATCGGGAAGTGCTAGGTTGGGAGCTGGGGGCAGGGTGGGGCAGCAGGCACACACAATGCCTCCTCTGTGCCTGTCCCTGAGTTGGCAGGAGTGCAGGGCCCTGGTCACTGCAATGGAGGTTTTCAGACTGATCTACCCCCTGGGCTGCTAAGGGGAAGGGGCCGCTGGTGTACTAAGGAGCCAAGCAGCGCTGCCTACTGGCCAGGGTCTGATCTGGGGGCTGTGAGCTTAGTGTCCCCCATGCTCTAAAATCCTACCAGCTCCTGTCCCTTGCTCTCTCTTCTCCAGACTTTTTTGGGGGGATAGGGGGCAGCTCATGTAGCCCAGGCTAGATTGGACCTCATTATATGGCTGAGGATGACCTTGAACTCCTGATCTTCCTGCCTTCATTCACCTTGAAGGTGCTTCAATTACAAGCTTCTACTAGGTACAAAACCCAAGACTCTGTAAATACTAGGCAAGCATTCTACCAACTGAGTTACATCCCCTGTCCCCCACTCCAGTTTTAACCTAACAATGTTTCTTCAAACTCTGCCACTCTCTATAACCCCGAGCCCTCACTCCTTTCTCCCAATCCCCTGTTCTTTTCCATCTTTGGGAAGCTTCCCTCCAGACACCCACACTGTTCCCTTCCTAGGCTGCATCTGAGCAGGTCTTCCTGGTGGTGGTGGTGGGGGGTGTTGCTGCTTTCTGGGTCACCGCAGAGGGAGCTGGGAATTTAGGGATGTGGGTCAAGATTGTGAGGGCTGCATCTGAGCAGGCCGCTTGCCCAGCATGGACTTTACTGGCTGCACAGTGCTCAGTGCTCTGACCTGAGGCTTAGGATCATTCTTGCTTTTGGAGCCTGGGGGAGAGGTACAGGTCAGCATCTAAAGCAGTATGATGGTGGGAGGGGCACAGCATGGGGAATCAGTCTGAGCAGTGATGGGGCAAATTCCCCTGCCCTGGACCACAGGCCTTCAGCCTTCTGCCTGCAGTTAATGATTTTTACACCCTCCAGTACTAGGCACTAGGTTCTCTCTAGCCAGAGAATGTTAAGCTGTTGCTGTGCCTGTCTGGTCTTGCCCAGTCTGGTGCCCTATGGTGTGGAGCTTTCTGGTGTCAGTCTCTGGGAGGCCAGCATCGTGGGACAGCTTAAGAACTAACATGATCAAGTCTACCCCTGCTACTCCCACCTTGGTCTGACACCCAGTGGAGTGGCTTGTAGCTTTTGGCTCTTGAACTTGGGCTTCTCAGAAGGTCACTTCTGCCTCAGACCCATGCATAGGAGTTTTGTAGGCTGTTCCTCTAGCTTGGTTGACCGTTGCCTTCCTGGGTCCCCTTAACAGCTGTGCAGCGCATTGCTGAGTCCCACCTACAGACCATCAGCAACTTGAGCGAGAACCAGGCCTCCGAGGAGGAGGATGAACTGGGGGAGCTTCGGGAGCTGGGCTATCCAAGAGAGGAAGAAGAGGAGGATGAGGATGAGGATGAAGAGGAGGAGGAAGAGGACAGCCAGGCTGAAGTCCTGAAGGGCAACAGGGGAACTGGTAAGCTGAAGGGGCTGTGGATGGTGAGTCCCATTATGACCGGTTAAGTGTTGCTCCTCCTTAAGTACCCTGGAATGCCCTTCTCTGGCCAGCTTCTGAGACCTGGCTTTCTCTAGATTGGTTTATTCTTCTGATCAGATTCCCCCCCCCCCCCATACTAATCTCTTTCCTAAGAATTAAGGCAAGACCACAGGAGGTTTGAGGCTAGACCCCAAAATGGACTTCCCATCCATGGAAGTAAATTGTGAGATTCAGGGATCAAGGAGAGAGTCCAACATCCCTTTGCCTGCATTTCTGAACCTAGTATGTGCTGTCTGTAGAGGTACAGGAGACTGGCTGATTTGCCCTCTCCAGGACCCTTGTTTCTTTTTCCTTCTTAGGATAGGGTGGAAGAGTGCCCTCTAGTGTCCCACTGGAGAACCAAGGATTTCAGAACCAATCTAGCCTGTGGACCTCTAACCTTAGCAGCCTGGAGGAAAGGGGCCTAAAACCTTCACAGATGGCTACAGAGTCAGAAAACTGCACAGAAAGTCCCAGCATCTAGAACACTAAGCAGGAAGACCTTACCCTTCCCAGGCATGGTTGTATTTTCCATACCTGGCTACGAAAGGCTATGCTTCATTTATTTTTGTTGGTGCATATTAAACTTTTTGGTTCCATTATTTATGGGAATGGCAAGCAGTCCTCTGCTTGAAGTGTTCAGCCCTTGACAAGATACTTGGGCCTCCAGTCTGCATCTCTGGCTATGAGAGTATCAGAGAGCTGGAAGGGTTCAGTCGGCTCCCACTGAGACCCCCAGAACATGTAGAAAATTGGTGAGAGATGTTACCCCAGGAAGAGCAGGAGGGCCCTGGGACACGTGGCTGAATCACCAAACAGCATCTCCCAGCACTTCTGAATGGCTCCAGAGTGCCTGTGCTGGATCCTAAGAAGATTTTTGTTGTTGTTTTGTTTTGTCTCACTCTGTAATCCAGGTTGGGCTGAAATTTACTATGTAGCCAGTTCAAGGCCGACCTTGAACTCAAAGCAATCCTCCTGCCTCAGCCTCCTGACTGCTGGCATTGCTGGCATAAGCCACCACACCCAGTTTCTCAGGTATTAGCTTATCTCAGGTAATCTACAATGGTCCTCTTACATAATATCTCCTTTAGAAAAATGCTCATGAACTTGTCTATGTCACATGGCCAGGCACAGGGAAAGCTTTCCAGTCCAGTGTTCTACCCAACATGCCAGGATGACTCAGAAGCTTGGCCTCCCAGCCATCAGACGTCACTCATGCTTCGGGACACTAGATGGTCCCTTAGCCTGTATTTGTATGCCTTCTTTTCCAGTGGGACAGAAGCAAACCTGTGGCCAAGGTCTGGAGGGGCCCTGGGAACGCCCACCCCCTTTGGATGAGCCCCAGAGAGATGGAAGTTCTGATGATCAAGTGGAAGACAGAGCAGCACTAAGTGGTGAGGTTTGGAGTGTGGGGTGGGGAGATGGATGGGAACCTTGGTGGCCAGACCAGGTCCTGAGTCCTCTCTACTTGCCTTGCAGAGTCGGGAGAGGAGCCTCAGCGCCCTGGCCCCCCTGAGCCTGGCACATAAGCTCCTAGTCCTGCATCTCCTAGGAGGACGTGTCCCCCAGAAACCCGTTCTGGCCTCACCCTACTTTGTACCCTTCCCCTCACTTGCTAGGGCTGCGGCTTCTGACTTCTAGAAGACTAAGGCTGGTCTGTTTGCTTTGGCTGATGCCCAGAGTCCCTGATGCCTTTCCCTGCCAGTTGTTCTTTCATTCACCCGGTGGGAGGGGGGACATGAGAGGGCCCACCCTAGAAAACCCAGGAAGCCAGAAACAAATACCCTTCTCCATTCTACTCTCCAGGTCCTCTCCCCTAGGCACAGGAGACCCACAGGGCAGGACCCTAAGATCTGGGGGAAGGAGGTACTGAGAGCCTGCAGGTGCCCGGAGATCTCCATCCCCTCTCCTATGGGAGACTCCAATTCACCACCCCTCTCACAGGCTTCTATCAGGGTCCAGGCCTCAGGCATTCTCCACAGCCTCAATATTTTGGACATCATCTTCCACCATTACCCTTGTTCCTGCTGGGTGCCTGCAAGATGAACTGGCAGAGGCTGCTTATTGCATTTTCTTTATGCTTTGATGCCAGGAATGCCACTTAGTATATATCCTTAGATGGAGCACACAGTGGAGGTCCTGGTTTTTCTTGTCCTCCAGCTGCTTGGCCCCTTCCCCTTCTTCCCTGACTCCAAGCCTGACCCCCATATCATGCTGTAATAAATCTTTGTAAATAATTGTGCTGAGATTCCTCTTTCATGGGGAGGGAGGGGGAGGAGTAGTGAAGTGTCCTAGTATGGAGAGGGGTGGATCTTGATCCTGATGTCCAGTCCTCTTCAGGAACCTTTCCTGCGAGAGCAGGTTCTGAGCAATCAGCATGACAGATATGCTAGCTCCTCAATGAGAGATGACTGGAAGAAGAGGTGGAAGTGGGGTAGAAGTCCTATACAATTGTAGGATGGACGTGGTACTCCACGCCTGAAATTCCTGCCTGTGGGAGGCTTAGGAAAGAGGATCCTGAGTTCAAGGCCAGCCTGAAACTCTGTCTCAAAAAAAAAAAAAAAAAAAAAGTGTGGATTTCTCCAAGGGATCTGTGCCCATAGACCGCGCCTCCTGCAATTCCCTTTTCTTCGACTGGGCCAGACCGGTATGGTCCAGTAAGCATAATGTGTCTGCTTTAACATTTCAGCACCCGGTTTCTTGCAGCCCAACTTGGGAGGTCTCCCGACTTCCGGCCCTTGTCCGTAAGGCCCCCAGAAGGGCGGGGCTGGGGCGGAGCTGCAGGTCTTCGCGCTTTTCGGTTCGCACTTGGGGGCGGGCTCAGCGGCGGAAGTAACGCCGCTGGCTCAGCTCCTTCCGCTCGGAGGAGCTGGCTGGGCGGTGGAGCGGGACTGCAGCTGGGCAGGAAGAGTGGGGGCCGTGCTGACATGGAGCAGGTGGGTCCTGAGCTGTCGCTGGAACTGGTTTGGTAGTACGAAGACTGTCTCTTGCCGGCGGATCTCGCTGCCCTGCCGGGTGTCGGTCTTCGGTTCGGTCCGACCTTCCCACGCCCCTCGTGCTCGGGGTTCCACCCCCTTCTGCCTCGCGGCTCCCGCGCAGGGTTGGGAGGGGTGGGTGTCTCCGGCGTTATCTTCGGGGTTTTCAGTCACCCAATAAGGCCCCGGAGGACGTTCGGGGTCGTTTTCTAAACCCTCCCACTTAACCGTAAGAGGAGAGACGAGGGGTCTTTATCTGAGTATTAGGGGCCGGGGGTGGGTGTAGGAAGAAATCGGAATCTGAGAATGAGGAGAAACATTTATACTTCCCGATAGTCTGCGTTTCATTGTCATCAGCTGTTTTTCCCCAACTTCCTTTGGAAACATCCACGCATAACTTCCTAATGATACCAGAAGTGCCCTTTAAACTCTTGAGTTCTCAGAGGTCCACAATACCATTGGCTCTCATTCCACACATGCTCCCACCCCTTGACTTCCCCTACATTTCCTGATTTTCTCCCTTACCGCTCTGCTCTGACGGAGGTCTGAAGTACCGACCGCTTCACATTCTCGCCCACCCGCTCGCTTTGTACACTGATCCTGGATGGTCTCATCCGCTCTTGTAGCTTCAGGCTCATATCCGCTGCATACCCAGGTCCACATCTCCAGCACCAGATTGGTTGGCTGTTAAGCTGCCGGTGGGACATTTCCACTTTTTTTTTTGTCTTTTTGAGACAGGGTCTCCTTGTAGCCCCAGCTGCCCTGGAACTCACTATGTAGACCAGGCTGGCCTTAAACTCACAAAGATCCGCGTGCCTTTGCCTCCCAAGTGCTGGGATTAAAGGGAGCGCCACCACACCTGGCCCTTTATTTATTATTTTTATTGTATGTGTATGAGTGTATTGCCTGCACGTATGTACGTTCACCCACGTTGTGCAGTGCCTGCGGAGGTCAGAAGAGAGTGTTCCCTTGGAACTGGAATTATGGATGTTAGCCCCCTCGTGTGTCCTGGGAATCAAACCTGGGTCCTCTGCAAAAGTAGCCAGTGCTCTTAGGGTTGAACCTTCCTTCCAGCCCCAGTGTACGCCTTAGTTTCAATAGTGTGAATCTGTAGGACATGGCTTGTTCACGTCTTGCTCTTCTCTGCACCCTCCAGGTCTTCTCTGATCTGCTGGGCTTCCTTCCACTTGTCCCTCAGTGCCCTATTCATACAGCGCCATATCCACATCATCTCCCTCTGCCTCTCAAGGCTAAATGTTCCTTTTTGTCCTCTGAGCACTCGATGCTGAGAATATAGACCCCTACAGCAGACTGCCTGGACTCTTGTTACTGTTTTGTGACCATGGTGAAGTCAGGGCCTTACTTTCCTTATTTGGAAAATAGATATAGAACTGTTCCTATCTTGTAGAGTTGTTGTGACAATTAAGAGAAATAGTGAATGCAGAGCATAGCACTGCCAGGCACATGAGTGCCCAAGTATGTGTTGGTTAGTTAGTTATCACTTACGTAACTAGTCTAGCTCACTGGTTATGACTTTTAATTTCATAAGCCACTTGAGGAAGATTGGTATGGCTTACTTCTTATTCTCTCCCAGGGCTCTAAAGCCTGGTTCTTTGTCAGGAAATGAAATCTTGGAGTTTATAAAAGGCACTAAGGGACAGGATCTGGATTTACTGAGTACGATCCAGGTTTTTGGGTATGATCTCCAGCACTGTAAATAAGTGGGGGGAAGGAGTGGAGGTTACCTGGGGATTTAGTTAAGTAGTAGAAATTTGTTTTGCATGTATGAGACCCTGGGTTCCTTCCCCAGCACAAACAAGCAAACAAAGAAAAACACAAACCAGACTTGATTCAGTCTGCTCAGGAAGATGAAATGGGTAAATGTTACAAGGTAAGTATTAATTCTGTCTAGAGGAATAGACAAGGAGCTCTGGAACCTGGTGGAGGGAAAGGCCACATGCTGCTTCTCAGATATGCTGACAGTGAGGGAAGGACCTTAAAGCAAAGAGGATGCATTTACTAGAGACCAGAGTGGGCTCAGAGAAAGGAAAGCTGGGTCCTCTTCTGTGGAGTGATTCCTTTCCACTGTTGGCCATGAGGAAGTATCCCCCTGGCTAAAGAGTAAGAGGGGAGATCTGGAGCTCTGGTGTTTGGGGCTAGGCCCCTAGGGTGGGGTCATTGCATATGTCTTTGGGCCAGGCTCTGCTTTAGACCAGTGTATGGACCTTGGTCGCTGTTCTTTTGCTGTCCAGGAATGCCCATCCCCCTTGTCTACACCTGATAGATGCTGATTCTTCTAGGCTTAGGTCAGATGACCCCTCCTCCCTGTGGCTTCCCTGACCTGTCCACCACAACTGTGGTCAGATGCTTTCTTCTCTGGGAGATATAGGCCCTTGTTTATTCCACTCTGAAAATGCTGATCACATCAGGACAGCATGGAATTATCTGTCAGGCATCCTCATGAGACCTAGCCACCCTGATGGACCTAGCAGGGTCCTGTGGGTGCAGGAACTAGCCAGTGTTTGGCACACTGTGGGTTCCTGACCCTGTGCTGCTGTCAGTTGAGTGCTTGTACACCTAGGCTCACTGGAGGACTACACTGTGGGAAAGAGCAAAAATCTGCTTGTTGGTTGAGATTAGTTGAGCCTTGGGGGAGGTAGGTTCAAGGTCACTCAGTAAAGATTTAAAGACTTGTCCCCTAACTTCAGATCCATAGCTATGGCCCAGAAACTGTCTCTATCCCAGCCTCCAAGAGAGCAGCTGCCACATCAGTGGGACAGAAGACAAGGAGAGCATGCCATCTGGCTAGTTGTGTTGCTCCTCTAAACATTTTCTGGCTGAGATGAGGCTAATTAAGGCTTTTATCTGCTCAGGGCTGGGGGTAGGAGGAGCCCATGTTAACAGGACTTTCCTTTGGAGGGCTGCTGACTTTCAGCCCTTTCCAGACTGATCTTGGGAACTTGACTTCCTCAGACTCAAGTTTTACTCAATATTACTAAGGGGTGAGGTGGGTCCTGACTCACCAGCCCCTGAGTAGGCCAGCAGTCATGGGGTCATCGAAATGGCATGGCAAAGTAGGCAGGCTAAGCAGATCTGATCCATGTAGTTGGGCTTACCAGTTATTACTTGGTCAAAAAGCCCCTTCCAGGGAGCAGTAGGGGTAAAGAAGCTAGTTTCTGAGTTAGCCTAACTTTCCTCCTCTTCCTGAAGGAAAGGAGAAATGGAGTCTACTTTGACTTCACAGTCTTGTAGCTGCTGTTATGCTCTCTTAAACTTCTGCTTCCACAGGGTTGGGGAACTTCGAGTCCTCTGTGAGTGTGTGGTTAGGGTGCAGTAGGTCAGCTGCTCCCAGGCTGAGGACAGGGGTCACTGAATCCTGAATATAGAAGAACCCAGCAAGAACCTTCCCTGTTTAATCCCCTGAGACCAGAGCCCTCCCGTCTGGCAGGCCAACTAGACCTTCTGTTTGGGCATAGTGCTCTGCTGCATCTGCCTGGCCCAGGGCCCTGTGCCTCATGCTGGGGAGTTGTAGAGGTAGCTGCCATTAATTAAGCACAGACACCATTCAGGTAGAATTTCTAGTTCTTTTAAACTTTGTGAAATGGACATTCTCTAATCTTCATTTTACAGAGAAGGAAACTGGGGGCGAGAGAGACTCATGATGTGGTCAAAGGCACACAGCCTAATAAGGAGTAGCCTTGGGCTTTTTGAGTCCTGGCCAGAGCTGACCCCATACCTCTCCCCAGTTCCAGAGCAGATCTTACACATCAACAGAACTAACTAACTTAACAGATAAGTGTCCTGTGACCTGGCACTACTACCTGGACCTCAAGGGATCAGTGTAATGACTCCAAGGCTCAGATCTAGCTAGGAGATAAGGGAGGTGCTGAACCAGAGGCCTGAGGTCAGGGGAACCTGGAGGCCAGGAGAAAGCTTTGCCTAGGAGGTGGTGACATTTGGACTAGTCTCAGAAGGGCCTTAGTTCTCCACCAGTGGAGGAGGTTGTCTGGAATGCGGAACCAGGGAACCTACTATGCTGTGGCTAGGATGAGCACATGGTCATAGTCATGGGGATATCAAACCCCATGGCCGGAGAGGTGTGCCAGGTCCTTTCCCCTTTTCAATGCTCCTTATCCAAGGAACCATCTCCTTGCACTGTCTTAGGGCAGTCATCCTTCATGTAGGTGCCCAGGAAGCCAGTTCCCCTTGTCTGCCTTGGAGCGACTACCTAGGCTCTGAGCAGGGCAGGACAGCAAAGACAAAATGCAGCTTCAGGAGGGCTGCCTTGAGAGCCAGGTATGGGTGTCCCTGTGTACCACTGCACATGTTGGAGAGGGAGGGCTGCAGGTAATCATTTTCACGTGATTACTGAACGTCTGTGAGCTTGGCATGCTCCTGGTACTGGGCACATAGTAGTGAGCAAGGCGCAGGATTCTATGCACTTGTGGAGTTTAACTTTCAGTGAGAGAAGATGTCAGGAAACGCAGACCAGAAAATAAGGTTAAAGTAACAAGGACTGTAAACAGTAGGAAAGCAAAGGAAAGGAAAGCGGGCTCAGGAACATTCTCTCCTCAAGAATGTTTGTGTAGAAACTGGAATGGAGTGAGCGGACTGCAGTGTAAGGGCTCTGAAGTGGAACATGGTGAAGTGAATGTGTCAAAGGACAGCAAGGAACTAATGTGGCTGGAGTGGAGAGTTGAAGGGAAGAGACGAAGGAAGGAGGAGGTTCTATGGGCCATAGTGGGGACTTTGGCTTTTACTTCGGGTGTGCTGGAAACCACTGAAGAATTGAGGCATTCAGGAGATGTGGTATGACTTAATAGGATTCCTGTGGTTGCTATGTTGAGGGTAGACTTGGGTCAGGGACAAAGAGCTACAGCTGGTGAGAAATGGCTCAGGTAGGGTGACACGGAGGTAGTTAACAGTGGTGATGCTGGCTGGATTTGAAGGTTTGTTGGTGG